CCTTCCTTACTTACATCCTTCCTTCCCTACATCCTTCCTTCCTTACAGCCTGACTTACTTCCTTACTTATCGTACTTCCTTACATCCTGACTTACTTCCTTACTTACTTCCTTACTTATCGTACTTCCTTACATCCTGACTTACTTGCTTCCTTACCGTCGTTCTTTCTTTCTTACTTACTTAGAAACATTTTCTAGTTGGCATTTATAATGTATGTGAATGTTTCTGTAAAGTGCACAGAGACAACTTCAGTTGTGACTGGGCGCTATATAAATAAACTGAATTGAACTGAATCTGAAGTTTGAAAAGGAGGGCAAGTTTATCATAGTTTTACTGTCAAATGCAGCAAAGTTTTGTGCATCAGTGATTAAATGTTAAGTAGTTTACCTGGTTTAGCATCACGTCATACACGTCGGTTCCTTCACAGTAAACATGAGCCTGAAAGAGAAGAACGTGTTCATGAAATAATGTAAATACACCAATAAATAAATGTTTTCAGTTTATTTCTCTACTTTATTTTACTGGGACAGAGATTTTAAAAACAGTGCATTTACAAGAGTTTCCTGGCCAATACTGGCAACAAAACACAAAGTTTCATAAAACAATCTTTAACAACAACTGTTAGGGTTTAAATCAAATAAACCAAAAGAGCTCCGCCTTAAAGTTGGTTACACGACCAAACAAATACTTAGCCACATTAGATAAAATACTGAAACCTGACATTTGTTTCTCACCATCTACTAAAACACCGTTAAATACTTTTAATGAAACCAACTCCTTCATTTTTAGATTACCGGTAGATTAGATTTTGTCCCGTCTGGACTTTAGGTACAGACATTAAGTCGCAGTCCTGGGAGCGAAGTGGTCGTCCTTCTGTCATAACAATTTATGAAACGAGGAGAAAGGACCCAGTACAGCTTTATGTATAAGTACACACCAATGATTCAATCTGTGGATGGTCAGAGGACCATCCAGTGCGGGCGTACGTGCAGCAACGTGTCGAGAGTTTAAGGTCTGTAACAGATCCACGGCAGACAGAGTCAAGTGGCCGTAAACTCTGAAAAAAACACGTATAAAACGTGTTTATGTGGCCAAAGAAGAGTGCCATAAATTTAAAATCCAAAAATCTATTTAAGAAATGTGCTCAAAAGAAGTACCTTGAAATGTGGCTTTTATTATACTGTAAAAATCCATAATTTAAAATAGATGCTAAGAACGCACCTGGTTAAACATTTACTGAGTCTCATTTAATGTATATGCATCAAGTATAAGTTTTATACCTTCCGTTTGTTTTATTTCCAAACAGCTGTTTGTTAAATACCTGAAAATTGACAAGCTTTAACAAAACGTACGCGCTGGTCTGTAAATACAGAAGATACAACTTCACAAAATGTTTTATAAAACAAGGAAGCTAAATCTTGCTCTATGGTTTAAAGATAAATCATTACTTTAACCCAAAAAGTCACGAAAGCAGCTTTAAGGTGAAGAGTATGTTGGTCGAGTTGGTGACCCGTTTAACAGGAAAAATAATACAAACTGCTGAAAACACGCAAAAGTAAACAGCAAACGTGTTGTAATTTTATACATGATTAAATCTGTGCATTTGTGAATATAGTAAATGTTGAAAGAAAAAACGATTCAATATTTTGAAATATTTTTTACAATACAACGCAACTTTATTTATAAAGCACTTTACTTTTTGTTTTCATTAATCACCAAATTATGAGAACTTTACATTTTAATCAGGCATGAGCAAACGCATAAAGCAGCTACTATTTTAAACCCTTAAATGTAATTTATATTAGCTGAATTATCAAAACGTAAACAATATTTGAAAAGGTGTCTCAGCATCAGGTGTGAAACCGCAATCTGGACTTTCATTTCTCACGCAGACAGAAACGAAAAAGTACCTTTCCGAGTTTAGTTTTGCACTCTGGGTCCACCGGAGCTTTGCCCTTCATCACCACCGTCCGCACCACCTCTGATCCACAAATACCAGAAAAATCGAAGCCATGTTTTGGTGAATATACAGCACTGTGCAAAAGTTTTAAACCCCATACATTCTGTATGTTTCGCTTCCAAAGAAGAGACTTCGAAGTTTGATCAACAGTCTTTACAGTTTTTCTGTGAACTGTGGGTGGTTTTCTCACTAATTTATTAGTATTAATATAAATTTGTTTGCTTCTTGGAAGCAACATGTAAATAAATGACAGTCAAAGCTTTATACAGTACTTTATATTTAACAATTTAATCAGTATAAGCAGGTTTATGATACTATTAAACATAAAATATGACATATATTAATCTTACCTTCACTTTTTGCTTCCTCTTTAGGCGTCTTTTCAAGTTTTGTCTCACTCCTGCTTTGCCCTCGTTTCTTCTTAGCTGCTGGCTGCTCTTCGGTCTCCTCCTCTTCCTCTTTGTCTGGAGCAGGTTGTCCTGATTTAGCAGGCTTGTCTCCAGCTTCACCTAAGCTGTCTTAACAAGAGGAGGGAACAATGAAACCCAAAATGCTTTTTAAATAGATAACAAACAGTAAAAAAAAAGCAAAAACAACAACACGAGTAACAACTTCCAGTGGGACGATAAGGTTTTCAAAAAAATTGATGCTAAAACGTCGCTCTTGTTCACAGTTTTAGTTCTCACAGCACTCAAGTCACCAGCATCAAACTAAAAAAAAAATGTTTGGTTTTCATTAACCAAGACCTAATCTGGACAATTCCCTTTAAAATAAAATACAAGTTTAGTATTTGCTTGTTTATAACGCTAGAAGCATTGAGTACTATTTGTGGTACTAGAAATGATTTGCTATTCCAGTTTTGCGAGAACCGTTCCAGTAGTACACGTGATACACACCAGCGTTTACAGTCTGAGAGCGAATCTTTCTCTTGTACTTCGTCACGGGATTGATCTGGACCATCTTCTTCAGATCAACTTCATATTTCGTCCCCGATCCGAAGGTCAGCGTGACTGATGTCTTTCCTGATGAGACGGTCGAATCCAGCAAGGCGCAGGCTGAAGGCGGGTACGATTCCCACTGTCCTTCATCTCCTTTCCACTGCCACACTGATCAGAGTCACAGAAAGCGGTTGTAAATAAATGCTGCATTTTGGACTGATGAACTCAACAAAAATACATGCGAGAAGGATAAAAACTCTAGTTTAACACAAGCAGTTTCCATCCTGCTTCATTTATGCTGTTCATTTAAGATGCAATAGGTTTAATTTTGTAAGTTTTTATTTAACTTGTGTTATTTTACTAATTTATTTGCATTAAACACATTATTTTAGATGTCAGTGTGAAAACACAAATAATAACATACGTAAGATGATGGTACAATGTGCTAGAAGGCCTTTTATTCCACCGTAGCACTTTTTTTGTATTAGTTTATAGTATTTATAATAACAATATTACATATCAGTGAGTTTTGACAGGTGCAGAAATTAATTGAACGTTTAAAATAAATAACTTTGTTTTAGTCGAGCATCCTGTTGTTCCATAAACACTGCTTCACAACGTTTTAATATTGTTGTAGTCTTGTTGCTTAGCCCAAATGGCTAAGTGTCAAGCTAAACGACCACCAACCTGTTTTGGACTTGACGTCTCCATTTTCTACTGTATTCTGACTAGCATTCCTCGAACATCTGGTTCGTCTCATGGTGGTTTGCGCAAATATATTTAGCTGGAAACAATAACAGAAGAAACCAAGCGACAACAAAAACACACGGCAGGAAACTTTATTCTTCCGCAGTTGTTTTCTGCCGGACAAGCCGGTGGAGAACGGAGTTTGCCAAAGATCGTTTATACTAAAGAAAACTCACTTCATGCTGGTTGCCCATTGTGGGTTGTTAATGCAGTTAACGCGACAGCAATCAAAGTTTATAACTAATAGTTTTATATATGACTTTTTTGTTGGTTGTATTTTCTTACTTGACAGTTATTGAAGCATTAAAATTACCTAAACTTAACCAGTTTCACCTCTAGTTTATGAAATTAATAGTTCTATGGTTCTAATGTTGGACGGTACGCGCGCGAAAATACAGAGTGAGCATTCTTCTTATTACCATTACGTCGGAATAAAAAATTGCGGTCGAACGTTCCGCATTGGTCGATGGTCGGAATTATTTTCTTGATACTCAGGTGAAGGACGTGTGGTTTATCAACGTGTGTATGAAATTTGCTTTTTTTACGATATTTGAACTCGGTTTAGACATCAAGGACATGGCAACACGAAGCTATGGAGCATGCGTTTCCTGTCTGAGGGTGGCTACGATGAAGATAACGTTCAGGGTGAGTTCTGTTCGTAGTTGTCATTGAACGCAGCATTCTGAATCAGTTCAGGTTAAATATATTTAATGTGTTTATCTGAGTATAGAACGTTATTTTAGTCTATTATACTAATCTTATGAATATATATTTGTCCCAATTGTTCTGCGTCAACCATTATAAACCCATTTTCATTGTTACTGTCCCAATTTAACTGGGATAAAAAGTAAGAAAGAAAAATTTATTGGTGTACAGTAATGCTAATTTGTGCTAATCCGCTTAGTAAATAAGATACCAGACAAATCTACTTAGAAAATAATAGTCAGAATGGTCCAACAGCTGTCTCTCATTGGACTCTGTTAAATCAGTAAAAGGAAAAATCAGATAAAATCCTGCATAACAACTTTCTTTCTGTCAAAGTAAAACTAGAGACATTATTCACCAAAGTTCATGCTCAATAAACCAGGTAACAATCCCGTTGCTACAGACATTATTGTTCTTCCTGACTCATGTTTCTGACAAAAATTAGGCACTCTGAACTTCAGCTTGCTGACATTTTGAAAGGACAAAAGCAAAAGTGATCACTTCCTCATTACAAGTGTTATTGGGGGTGACAGGAGTAAACAAATCAGCTTAAATGTGTTTGAACTTGTCAGTGGAAATATAATTATAGGACTGGACTATAAATTTTAGAGTATTTAATTTACTGATGTGTGAAATATTGATCATTTGAACTTTTTCCATCAGAGTTTTAGCTCCGCAACCAGCCCACAACCTAAAGTAGATTTCCTGAAAGGAAAACCACACAGGGCACACCCAGGTGTGTCCAACCTGAAGACCCTGCACCTGCCCGAGGAGCTCCAGGTGGCTGCAAAGTCGATTATTCATAGTAAGCTCAGTTCTTTCCAAATGTAGCTTGTTTTGATCTGTGACTCAATGAGACTAACCTGTATAAATAAAGGGTGAATGAATCTTGAAATTAGACATATTGCTTTTTTACTCGTGTGTTTATTTATTTTATTATAGGTGCTTGTATATCTAAGCTTGCGGAACACAGTCACAAACTCACAAACTACCTGTGGCGTCGGAAGCGGCTGGTTGAAGATGGAGTGCTAAGGCAGAAGGCTATTATCCTGGAGAAGGAGCTCTGGGAGAAGGCCATGCAGAAAGTAGGAGGTGGGTGACAGAGAGCTCAAATGATCATAAGTGAATATCTGAGAGCATCAAAGAAGGCTTTTGATGCAGTTATGGAGGTGAATAACGTACCGTACTTCCCCTTGCAGATATTGATGAGCAAGCACTAGAGGATCAAATCAAAAGGAAGGTTCTGAAGGAGCTCAAGAGAACAACATATCATTGGACTCCTCTAAAGTAAGAAAATATTTTTCCAACACACATTTTGCTCAGTTTAGATAGATTTATGTCAGCCTTGATGAATAGTAAACATTTTACACATTTTATGAACTTTATGGACTCAGATTTCATCTAGATGTTTTTTAAAATCAAACTAGAGAAGTTGTGTTTTAAGTGAACCTGCAGTGCGGACGCCAAGTGCTGAATAACTTTGCTGAAATTTGCTGAAGGTGCTCAAACTGAGATGGTGTTGTGTCAATGTCAGTTTTATTTATACAGCACATTTACATAAATCACCTGAAGTTGACTAAACTGCTTTACAGTCGAAGCAGACGGCAAAAACATTAAAACATTAAATATCGAACAAAAATAAATAAAATTTATGAAAGGTCAACACAAGAAGATCAACTCTGAAAAACACCTTTAGTTTAAATCAGAAGGAAAAGCGAAAAGAAAGGTCTTAAGCTGGGATATAAAAAGTAGCAAAAGCTAAAATAAGCTGAACACTAGCTAAAAGTTAAAAGAAGAAAAACACAAACTAAAACCTAAATGGAGTGAACTATTACCCAAAAGCTAAAGGGAGCAAAACATTAGCTAAAAGCTAAAAGAAGCAAAAGCTCTCTAAAACCAAAATGAAGCAGAACACTAACCAGTAGTTAAAATTTAAAAGAAGCTAAATGCTACCTAATAATAACCAAAAGTAGAAAAACACAAGCTAAAAGTAGAAAAAGTTCAAAGCTAATGCAGCAAAAGGTAAAATGTATGTAAAAGTATCAAAATGGTAGCCAAAAGTTAAATGTAGCAAATGACTGGCTAGAAGCTAAATAGCAAAATGCTAACTAAAATTAGCAAAGAACTAGCTTTAAGTGGAAAAAAGCTAAATATTAACCAAATGCTTATTAAAAGTTAAAAGTTTTCTAAAGGACAGTTAAATGTGTGAAAAATGTGAGCTGTGTGCTAAAAACAGCCAAATGCTTGCTGAAAACTAACAGTAGCAAAAACAGACAAACAGAGCCAATACGCTGAAGCAGAACCCAGAGAACGTTTATGAAGGAACTGAAATGTATTCTGCGAAGCGAATACTTGTAAATAATGTTAAAAACCCTGAAAAGTGTAAAGTTTACAAAAAACAAAAGTCATTGGGCCCCTCTTCTCAATAAGCTGAACGTTCTGATGTGCGAGTGGCTAAAACAGCAGCATGTGTGCTGCATTCACAGAACGTGAGATCTCCATCCTGAACCTGCTTGTGTTTCAGGTTCAACGAGGAGCAGGCGGTGATCTACATGGCCGCCCGGCTCGCTGGAGGCTACGCAGCAGTGAAGAGAGCTCTGCATGAGGTAACAAAGACGATGTTCTGTTTTAATCCTAGCTAAATAAATATTTTTCCCTTGTTGTGTTTTGGCCTTTCAGATAAAGAAAAGGGATCCCTCGTTCGCTCCACAGTTCCTTCTGGATTTTGGTTCAGGCTTGGGAACAGTCGCCTGGTCGGCGTGAAACTAAAACTCAGCTTTTCCTCTAAATTAAGTTAAAAACAACCCGTTGAGTGAATTTTCTCTCCTCCCACAGGGCGTCGCACTCGTTCTGGGGCGCCTCTTTAAAGGAGATCATTTGTGTGGACAGCTCGGGGCCGATGAACGTTCTGGCAGAGCGACTTCTCAAAGGTTAACGCTGGTTGATGAAGATGTCACGAGAACGTTCGTGTTTTTAAGAATCAACTGAAGCATCTGTGTTTCTTTTCTCTTGCGCAGGCGATGATGAAAAAGCTAAACCTCACATCCAGCAGGTCTATTTCAGGCAGTTTCTTCCAGTCTCTCCTAAGGTTAGAACCTCTGTTTTTTATGTTTTTATCGCAGAAACGTATGAATCTGGATTCCATTTGCTCAAAAATCGTAGTTTAAAAAAAAAAAAGTTAGTAAAACATTTGAGTACATAAACAATATGACCTTTTATCTAGGCCTGTCGTGATAAACCTCCGTCTTGTCGAAGCTCCAAAATTCACAGTCGAAACCCGTGTCTTTGTGTAAAAAGTGGTTTATCTCTGCAAAACGAAGCTGAGAACTTGTTTACTGATATTTTATTAAAAGTTTTGTGTGACAAATGCTATGCTAACGAGCTCAAACCACATTGAGCGTCCACCATTTTGAGAACCGAAAAACAGGAACAAGAGACAGTCCATGTCACATCAAGGGGCCTCCCTCCCATTTTTCTTACTATCCATCCTTCCGTTCAAAAAAGTCTTATACTGCCATCCGGTGGTCGACAAAAGGTACTACATTCAAAACAAATTAACCAGAATTTCTTCTTAAATTTGACAATAATTACTAATTATTGTCAAATTTCAAACAATATTATCGTTTATCGCTATAATTTTTTAGACAATTAATCATCCAGCAAAATGTATCGTGACAGGCCTACTTTTATCTTCTCTGCACTGACCAATCAATCAATAATTAAGCATCAGAGACATCAGCTTAAACATGCTGTCCTTAAGCTTTCATCGTTTTTTTAAGCGTACAGAACCATCCATGTTCTGTCCCAGAATAGACATGTAGAGTTAGTCAGATTAAAGTCAAGTAAAGAGGTGTTTATTTTCTGAAAAATAACATTGTTATACACTTTTTTGTGTGCACGTTCACTTTTGCACAGGGTGCTTCCACGATACATTAAAAAGCATCAAAAGTCATTAAATAGATTTAGCAAAATTTGAACTTAAATGAGATTAAAAAGCATTAATTTTAAATCTGAGTGTAATTAAGCATTTTTTATTAGTTTTTTTTAGAGAAATGAGGGCAGTGCGGCTATGGATTATTGCCATATTTCCCCTTTGGGGAATCAATAAAGTGTGATGATAACAAAAAAGTACATAGAGTAACATGTAGAACCATTTTAGTAATTTGTTTCTAGTTTGCAGGAGCAGAGATAAAATGGGTAAATGCAAATTCCAGCTAAAGTGGCTGGAAGACACTTGTCCGTCGGTTATCAGGGCGGTGAAGGATTTTAGTTTGTAAAAAAAAAGAAAATGAAAGCTTTAGTCTGGGACAGCAGGTATAAATAGGCTCTTAGACACCATCTAACCACCTTGGTCTGATTTCTGAATGGACTGAAGTGCCATTTTAATTGCATACATTGATTTTTTTTAAGCATTAAATGTGATTGGCTGATTTCTGCAGAAACCCTGTTGCAACTTTTGCATCTGTAAATATTGTGCAAAATAATAACTTGACATATACTGCATGGTGATAGATGGCCCCTTAGTAACGAAAAAACTCTTACAGACTGAGTGCATTTCATCTTTTGCTTTAGATCCTCTGACAAAATACCCTTAAATGCTTACGTTCAATAAGTTTATTTTTGATAAATTATTTTAAATCTAAAGTACAGGAACAACATATAGTCTGAGAACGCTGTGTGAGATCGATAAAGCTCATTAGAACATGAATTTGTTGCAAACTTGTTTTTTTTTTTTAATGTACGTTAGACCCTGACGCTGCGGTTCCTCCCTGCAGGTGCAGTTTGATTTGGTGACGGCGGCGTTCACCCTGTCGGAGCTTCCCAACGAGAAGGAGCGAGAAGAAGCCGTGATGACTCTGTGGAGGAAGACCTCCTCTTATCTGGTCAGTTAAATCAACCATTAAACCTGTGGGCTTTTCTAAAAACACATTCTGTCCATTTGTAGCAACAGTTAAGTGTTTTGTTTTGGGGTTTTTAGGTTTTGATAGAAAATGGAACCAAAGAGGGCCATCAGATGCTTATGGAGGCCAGAGACACTTTATTAAAGGTATTCAGGTGTTGGAGGAAACACAGCAGACTAAATATTGCTCAGTTATATTAATATATATA